ATCAAAACTGATAAATTAAACACCCATTTAATTTATCATAAATACACACTCCCCGCCCCAGATTGACATCTAACAATGAATCAGGGCAACACATGTGACGGAAAATATCACGTGGTATGACAAAATCAAAACTGTTCGTTTACCATGAAATTATAATCCTTTCGTCAATATGATCCGATCAACTACGAGATATGGAAGTATGTCAATCTCGATTATCGATCATATCTTTCATTCTATTATTAAGTCAATATGAGTTGAAAACTCCTTTTCGACTTATATGTATACCTTGGTCAATGATTTCGTTATTGACTTAATTGAACAATGTCGTATTAGCGGCCCTTAGCAGAACAACATCTAACACCGTCAAAGTATGACTGTCTTCATACAAGGCACTATGATGACCTCAAGTTATAGGACCAATTCCACTACCGAACGTTAGAGATTAATCGCTGACACTCAGATAGTTATCCATGTGAAATCTCTTAGTGGGTCTCCAATATTTTGTTCTATAACAAAACATCGACATATTCATTTAAGTGTCACCACACTTTATCTCGTGAGATCAACTACTCACTTCACAAGTAAGAAATGCGACACGTGATGGTCTATCTGTATTAACGATATCTGTATCTCATTATTACTTATGACCACGGTTTATTCAAAATCCAATCATACGTAATTTGTATCTCACAATCACAACTCCTTGTGATTAACAAATCACTTAAACTTGGATTTTCGCACTATATTATTTAATATTATTTATCACAAAATTAATTTAAATAAATAATAGATCTTGCCATAATTAAATGTATTAAACATATTAAAAGTGTTTACAACCTAAATTGATTGGACTTAGGGCATAACACTTATATAAGTTTCCCTTTTTGGGCTTTTTCGTCACCTTCGTACATTCTTTAGGTATAAGCCGATGTATTTATTTTCAATCCCATAATTTATACCGAGTTTTCAAAATGTTAATATTTTAAGGGTATTTGTAAAAGTTGTCCATCATCACAATTAGGAGCATGTTTGGGCCACCATGTCATGTCTAGACTTTTTGTTGCTATTTTGGGCTGCTATATATTATGTGAAAATTAGCCCGTACACATCATTAAAAAATAAAAATAAATAAAAATCAAATATACGCTTAATTTTGAGTTAATTATAATTAACACATCATCAAAAATTAAATGGAATACACACCAATTCTTCCCTTCATTTATGCCAAAGGGGTAGAGGGTTTCTTTCATATTTCTTTCAAATTCTTCATGGCGGTGCAATAATGAATTTTATGAAGGTATAAAACTTAACTATGCCACAACAATTTTTACTGCGTTGTAACAATGAATGTTAAAAAGTATTGAGGGTAATGGTGACTTAATAATTAATGTTACAAGTGCTAGTGGTGGTGGTGGAGGTATCCACAGTGACGCTAAAAATAGACACAAAAACATCTGTAATTAACCGTGTTCCAAGTGATGACACGAATAAAAATATGATGCTGAAATTTCTATAACATAAATTTATAAAAAAAGTAACACACTGAGCTAAAAAATTAATTATAAAAATTAAAACAAAAAAAAATAATAAAAGAGTAGTATTTTGAGAATACAAAAATTGAATAGTAAATATTAAATTAGTAAATTTTTTTAACATATTCGTGAGTTGTACCCCCATACATTCAAATTATTTTGGTCAATGAGTTAAAAAGGGTCCAACTATCCAAAAAATGGGTACAAAAATCAATTTTTCTTAATCAAGGCCCGCCAAAGCTCACGTTAGGTGGTCAAGTAAACAGTTGACTACCTTTTCGCTAGCTTAAGCCCTAGGTGGGGTGCTTCTACTATTCTTCATATCTTAGAGCCGTCTAAATGTAGCAAATGAATAATATCCAAGCCCTTTTGCTTATTTTGATGTACAAACGTCAAAGATTAATGTTACTTGTATATAATAAAGTTATATAATGATTTATACAAACATGAGATGCCGAAAAGAGAATGGAGGGTTTTTTTTTTTCTTTTATTTGGTTGAAAAAATTCTGACCCAATTATATTTCATTAAATCATGTGTATATAAACCCGAAAGTTAAAAGATTGTTAATGTTTATTTTCTTCTACAACTTTATTGCGTAGCCGAAGAATTGGATTTTTCCCTGAGTACAGATAAAACTTACAGAATTTGTACATAATTTTGAAATGAAAAAATCATGTCCGTCTATGTTTTATGTTTTTTCCCATCTTTGAATGATGTTTTGACACCTTTGTCTCTGAAAAATTTTCTGTGCAAAAACCCTGTACTAGTAGCGTAACTCGAAAGAATTATATACATAACAATTGAATAGTAACACATTTTCACACCTCCTTTTAGACTACGTTATTCTGTGGACGAACCCTTTATTTATCTTAACTACATAACCATGTGGAAGCAAGAAACTTGTACCTTGGTTGTATTTCAATACACGAGTTCTCTAGGTGCCTCTATGGAAATTAAGAGCAATAAACAAATCAGCATTTTGGACCTAAAATGTTTAATTTTTTGGTTTCCTTCCTCTTAATTAAATAATAAAATAAATACAATAAAATCTCAATAATTGAATGTTCAATAAATTAAAATTTTTATTTTTATTTTGATTCCAACTTAAGCCAATATACTAAATTAACAATCTCACTAAATACATAACATAATATTTAGAGATTAATAATTGATTAAATATATAAAATTTTATAATACAAATTATATAAATTTTTACTGGACAATTTCTGTTTTCTCAATTCAATTTATTTTTCCCCTAAAATATGCATCTAACATTGTTTGTTTTTTCTTTGTACTCAGTCTAAACTCAACTTTATCCCTAAATTTTTGTAATGAACGTACAATATTCGATATATTTTATTTCATATCATAAAAAGTAATTACTTAAGGTTACGATTGCTTGAAAGACATTTTTTGAAGGAATAATTTGTAAGAACATCTTCAATACTTTTATGAATTGCTAAAAAAAATTGCCACAACCAAAATAGACATTTTTTAAAAATAATCTATCGAGTTGATGTATCAAAATAAAAAAAACACATTTCCCAGAGCTTTATCTATATTTAAAATCTCTATTAGATAGCAGACTTAACAAAATTTTATATTTCTTATACATATTATCATTTTCTATGCAAATTTAGACGTGATTATATTTATATTTTTAAAAATAAAAGATACATAGACAACATTATTTACTTTTTGTTTGTCTCTCTTTAAAATAAAACTCTTTAATTCTCATACTCATTTTCAATCGTACATTCACATAAAAGCATCTCAAAAAAATTATTTATTTCATAAAGAGCATCTTTAAATTTAGAAAGTCAATTTTTTATACATTCCAACAATATTTTCTATTTGGATCGAGCTACACGAACCGCAGGGATGACTACATACACACACATGGGGGGTCGGGAACTTTAAATTCAAGCAGGACCCACATTGGTCATGTGAGTGAGTGATCAATCGTTGTGTCAACCTCTATGGTCGTTTGACTTAATTCTTTCTATTTTGACTCTTTGTTTTGCCATTCTCAATAAACATTTACTGATTTTTCTTCATATTTTTTATTTAACATAATTTTTTTTTTTTTTATGTATTAATGCCAGTCAATTGAAAAATTATGAATGCATTATAGAAAAATTTAGTTCATCATATCATATTTGGATACAATTCGCATCGAGGGCAGAAAACTTGGACTTTGAGAAAAATATTATTTATAACTCAGAAGAAAAGGAATAGATTTAGTAGTTTATTGCATGATTTGTAGGTATAATAAACATAATAACACAACTAAATTAAGCCATTGTTTGAGCCTCATTTTGTTGAAAAAATATATTTCGTAATAGTAATTTTTTGAAAAATATGTGGATAAAAAGAGTGTGTGTGTGTGTCTCTATATATATATATATATATATATATATATTTCTCACAACAATAGCACTTCTCATTCTTTGTCTTTCTTTTATAAGTCTTCGTCTTTTCTCTTATTACTTCTTCATTTCTTCTTATTGAAAATCTTATCTCTGTTATAATTGGTTTGATGGAAATTACTCATTCCTTTAGTTGAGTTCATAGAATTTAATAGAATTCTCAACATGTAGAACCTCTTTTTGTTCAGATTTTAACTCTAACTATCTATTCTTAAGGAAACTATGAATAATTTCAATAGTTAGGTCATCTGTACATGTTCCAAGGCATTCTTTATGTCTTTATGTTTCTCTCCAAATGCATTAAGTAGACCAACCACCTTTTGATCAATAGAGATCTTTTCTCTCTAAAATTCACAAGATCTTGAGTGATCCTATTAAATTTGTCAATATTTTCTTCTAGATCAGCACTAGGATCAAATTTGAAAATAAAAATTGTCTCCATAGAAAGCGCTTATTAGGTAGAGATTTAGTAAGATACAATTTTTTCTATAGTAGCCAAAATTCAATGACATTCCTATTTTACCAACCTTTCTGATCATAGAATCAAATAGGTGGGGAAACATAATGCTTCAAGCTAATTCATCTTTTTCAGTTTTATTATCAGGTGCTAGGTCATCTGGCTAGAACTCATCTATAGCCTTGGCACATTTCAATTGTGAGATAAAGGCTCTCATCTCCTGGCGCTAGAGACTAAAGTTCCCGTAGCATTTCCACATTTGAACATCTATCTTAGTAGACATGCTGTGCAATAATGGATTGATTAATGTACAAGAAGATTACCCACAAGATTTAAAAATATCACACGAATCACTTATAGGTGAATAGATCATAGAATCAAGGGATGATAAAAAATATAGGGAAAGACTATACAACAAATGTATAAATTTCAATATTTGCTTATACTCAGTAAAAATAAATATAAAAGCATGTATGTGTGTGTAGAATCATCGACAAACCTGCAATTGGTCCAGGTGGGTCACGTGACAAACCAATTAAAAAGGATTTTTTTATATATATAAAATAGAAAATGATAAAAAAGGAGTAATCAAAAAAACCCTTCCATTTTCCAATTCATTTCTATCCCCATATTCCACTACCAAATTGAAATTCAATGCAAGAAACCGTCCTACTCCTAATTCAATGCCGTCTTTGGGCTCGGCGGCTCCCAATTCCAAACATCGAAGCAAAACATAGCCATTTAGTCCATCCGTGCCGTCGTTGCTGATCGTTCAACTCCCTACGTCGATGATTCTACTACCACAAATGGCTGAAGACAGCAATACACATAGAATTGTAAGGAGATTATTCCTATTATGTGCTGCAATTTATATATGGAATTTGGGATTCAATATTTCTGTTTCTTATTCTTGTAACTGTAACCCTTTTTTTGTGTGCACTGTGCAGCTTCTTCATTATAATATTTTCATTCTTGAAAGCTAATGTTCTTGCACTAGGAGAGGAAGAGAGGAGAGAGAAATGAAAGGTTCTACTTACTTTCCCCGTTTCCCGTTATTTTAGTTCCCATACATTTATTCTTGTTTTAAAGATTTTTGTTTAAGTTCTTAGATGGTTATGGAGGGGAAGGTCCATATGTTGAGAGTTTCTTATACATGCCCATTTCAAGAAATTCAGTTTCCAAAACAAAAAAAAAAACTTACCAACATTATTTTGGCGAAAAAAAGAAGGAAAAATGGAAGCCCATTTGTTCTTTGAGACTTTTAGTTGTTCAAGAAAGTTGTTTCTGTTCGTAAATTGTAATCCAACTTCCACAGAGAGATTTCGATGGCAGAATTACTGAAAAAATTGGCCAATTTCAAGCTTTAATTGAAAATTGGAATTATGGTTGCGTTTGGGACCTTGGGTGTCTTGTTCACTGCTAATTTATGAAAATTATTCACGTCTCCTTATAATTGTGTTGATGATGAGTGATGATACACACTGTCTTCTGCTTTTCGTAAAATCCTTTTTTTTTCCTATTAGTTGAAATATATACGTAGTGCTGCCTGCTCGTGCTGCCCCGCCATTCTATTGTATTGCTACTTGCTTCCAGTCCTCCATTGTTGTTCGCCAGAACGTTAAGGTTAATATAGCGTTCTGATTTTAATTTCCGTCCGATGGCTCCAGTTAATTTATGATTTTAGCGAATTTGTGATTTGTGAATATGTCATTTGTAAATTGTAAATTTGTTGATGGATAATTAATTTGTAATTTGTGTTTGTGAATTGTGATTCGTGAGATTTAGTTGGGGACTACATCAACAATTCAAAATAGATACAACATTACTAATGAGATTGTAATTTATGAAACCGTTAAACTTAGTAACTTAAATCATTATTGATAGAATGATTACTTTTTACTTGAATTGATTCTTTTCATTGCATGTTTGTATTAGTTATGGAAAAGTTCTTTAAACGTAAATCTGTGTTTCCTTGCAATGACTAAAATGTTAATGAAAGAAATGTTCGAGTTAAAATGGAAGGACATGATGTTGGAGATAAAAAAGATGACGAACTTGGGGATGAAATGAATGAAATTGGTGGAACTAATCTTGGAGATGTTCCAATTGAAACAAATATCAGGGATGTTGGGGATGAAAGGCTTGAATTTGATGTTGTACAGCTTTCTTCAGATCCTGGATTGAGGGTTCCAATACAAAATTATGATGCAAATGTTCGAGATGTAATTCGAAGAGCATATGTGCAAAGGGGTCCATGTCAGCCTCGCAGTCATGAATTTTCATCCAAAAAAATGGCTAATAAAGATAGGCGATTTTGTGTTTCTTGGTATAACGAGTATCCTAGTTGGTTGGAATACAGTATAGCAAAATATGCTGTATTTTGCTTATACTGCTATCTTTTTAGCTCAAGTGGTGGGTCATTTGTTAATGGTGGGTTCTCAAATTGGAAAAGAAAAGATATTATTATAAAATGCATTGGGGTACCAAGTAGTGCACACAATCAGGCTCGGGTTCAATATGAATCATTCAAGAATCAAGGACAAAGTATTCAATCGTGTTTCTTCAAGCAATCACATCAAGCTCGAACAGAGTATCAAATTCGTTTGAATGCATCAATTGATTATGTTCGGTTTCTTCTACGACAAGGAATGGCCTTTCGTGGACATGATGAATATGAAGATTCAAACAATCAAGAAAACTTTCTTGGACTATTACATTGGTTATGTGATCATAATGCTAAGGTTGAGGCTGTTACTTTGACGAATGCACCTGAAAATCACAAATTGACATCACCACGAGTTCCAAAAAATATTGTGAGTGCTATTGTTTTTGCAACTCTTAATGTGATTATCAAAGATATGGGGGATAGCTTGTTCTCCGCGCCTAGCTTAAGTATATATAATTTGAGAGGTTAAAGATATGATGGAGCGAGTAATATATTAGGTGAGTAATAGTCTCAAATCACTTATTTTGAAAGAAAACTCAAGTGTTTACTACATTCATTGCTTTGCTCATCAACTTCAACTAGCACTTGTAGCTGTGGCATAAAAACATTCAAAAATTGAAGCTTTCTTCACTTTAGTACACAGATTGGTAATATTGTTGGAGGATCAGCTAAGCATAGTGATCTTATTCGAGAGAAACAAAGACTCAAAATTTTTGAAGCACTTAGTGTCGATGAAATATCAAACGGACGAGGTCTCAACCAAAAAACTACTCTAAGCGTTCTGGTGATACTCGTTGGGGCTCTCATTACTGCTGTTTGATTAACTTGATTCTCATGTTTTCAGCCATCGTTGATGTTGCTAAGGTGATTGCTACTGATACTACAAGTTTTGAGACGAGAGGTTATACAAATATTTTATTGGAAACAATGTTAAAATTCGAATTTACATTTAATCTACATCTCATGAAAAAGATCTTGAGAATTTCAAATGAATTGTTGAAAGCATTACAAAGGAAAGATCAAGATATTGTCAATACTATGAAATTGACGAAATTATGTAAAGTACATATGCAAACCAAGAGGGATGATGGATATGATTATTTTTTTGGAATGATTTGTTCATTTTGAAAAGCTCATGAGATCTATATTCCAAATTAGATGATATGTTCATAACTGTAGGTCGTTCACGACGTGCTACAATGACAAATTTGAATCACTATCGTGTGGAAATGTTTTATGCCATCATTGACACGCAATTTCAAAAATTGAATGATCGTTTTTCTGAGATAAATAGTGACATTACTCTTTTATATTGCGTGTTTGTGTCTAAATAATTCATTTGCTGATTTTGACAAGAACAAATTGATTCGACTATTTGGATAATTATCAAACAGATTTTGAAATATTATCGAACAGATTTTTTGCAAACAAATTGATTCGACTATTTGGATATTATCTCAAAACTTGATGATCAATTAGATACATATTTTCTTGACGTGTGCACTGAGGAAGATTTTAAAAGATTACAAGGCCTTAATGATCTAGCATAAAAATTGTTTGCAAAAAATAAGCATGATGTGTATCCATTAGTTTTCAAGCTTGTGATGTTAATCTTAGTTCTGCCCGTGACTACTACTACAGTCGAGAAAGCATTTTCTGCGATGGCTTCCGTCAAAAATCTCTGTACAATTGAATTGGAGATCAATGGCTAAATAATCATTTGATTGCATATATTGAGAAGGATGTATTTGATAGTATTGAAAATGATGTAATTTATGGAACGTTATCAAAATATGAAAACTCGTAGAGAATAATTGTAATAAAATATAAATTTTTTCGTAACTTCTGAATAAGTTATATTATGCCTCACTAACTTCAAATGTTTGCATTTGCCACTGTATATAATTATTCACATGCAAAGACGTATTCAGTAGCAAATTGACCGTATGTATATCAAAACAATTTGTTTAACAATATTTCAGTTAGTAGAAGAACATAACCTAATTTTTAACGAAAAATGGTACACAGAGTAGCAAATAAGAAATCTTTCCAAAAATCAAAGAAAGTCACTAGTTAAATTTCTTTAGATTAAAATCCTAATTTCCTCAGATTCTATGGTTCTCTCAAGATCCCTAGACAAAGGTAAATTTAAGGGAGGTTTTCAACAATCCTTTTCAAAGATGACTTGAAGTTGAAAAAACTATGAATAAGAGGTTAAGAAACCTGTTACCGAAGCTGCGTTTCAAAGAAATAACCAAGAATACCCAAAAATCCACACCATGCTCAGATCAGAGAACTTCCTTGAAAAATATCAACAAATCATTAAAGATCTAAGGTTTGGAAAAAACCAGAAGAATCACAAAAATGGATCAACTTTCAAATCAAACTTTTGGACTTTGATATCTCTGTTGGTCCCAGATTAAGACTTAACTAGCATCAAGAACACAAAAATGTAAACAAGAAAGTAAAGAACAAAAGAATTTTTCGGCCTTAGGCCACGTAGGTTCAGTAACTACTTTTAATGTTTAATCCTTTTGTTTAGCATCCTTTACGATTACGTTTAAATCCATCAGCATAGCCTCAATAACATGTAAAGTATTGTTCGAACTCTCAAAGACCTTCAAAACAGGTATAAATTACCGACACAGAGAGGACTGTTATCAATTAATAGACCTCGGATTTCATTCAAGAAACTATACTAAAATAATTTGGTAGATGAAATTACCAAGAGCACATGAAGAAGACGGACACGGGAAAGAGAAAGAGGGCTAGGGTTCAGAATAAAACCCTAAACAACCAATGTTTTTATTTATATCAAATAAAGGCATCATCTCACCCAACGACAACTAGCAAATCATGTGATCAATCAGAAAAAACGTCCATTCAGTACTAAAATCGTGATTTCAAAACATGTTTAATATCAATTCTGGAACCTTCAATTAGTTGGGTCAAACGATTGGATCGGATCATCACACAAATTAACAGAGTTTGGGGCTTTAATTGGGCTCAACTTTCAGCAACCTAATTTCTTCACAATAATAAAACAACATAGGCTTGTTGATGAATATCATTTTTTTATAGTAGAAATTACACTACACCCTATGTTTGAAGATTAATATTCTAAAATCAGGTAGAAGGTTTCACTTTTCAAAAATTAGATGTTTTATTTTAATTAATATTTTTATAAAATAAATATTTTTAATTAAATATATATACTTAATACACATTTAATAAACCCCCTAATTATCTCTATCACATTTCTACATTCTCTTTCTATCCCTTAAGATGACATCACTGTCGTCATCACTGTGAAGACGCCACCATCAGAATGACTTGACTGTGAGGACCAAAGCAGCAGCCAACAAGCTCAGATTGTCGCTGAACGTTGACGATTTGAGCTGCTACGTTTCGTTTACAAAGCGCTTTGAGCGCTCCTGATCTTAGTCGTGATGCATAGTTCACCATTGCAATGGCGATGAACTGAGCATCATTGCAGTGGAAACCACTGTGAACTGTGAGCATTGGAGCAGCGGCCAACAAGCATAGATTGTCAATGATCTGAGTCGCGGCCTTTGAATGCCTTTGATATTTGCCGCAATGCTCAATTCGTAGCTACATCTGTGGTGAACTAAGCACTATTGCAGTGGCAAATTGGTGGCGATTTGTATTGTTTCGTGGTGGTTTGTGGTGATTAGGGTGGCTTTTGTAGTAGTTTTTCAGGTGGGTTTGTGGTGGTGCTAGCAGTGTTTAGTGATGGTTTTGCATTACTGTGGTGTGTGGTAATGATTTTGTGCTATCTAGTGATGTGGTCATGGCGGCGATGTTGCTATTGGAGGTGGTGAGGGTCATTCTAGTGAAGACGGGGTGGTTGCGATAGTGGTGGCAATTCAATGGTGGGTTGCGATGGTTGTATTACAGGTGGTGATGGTGGTGGCACAGGCATTGGTTTTGGTTCTGGTATGTCAGAGTGGCAATGGTGGCGATGGTTTGTTGGTGGTTGGGCGATTTTTTTTTTTTAAATTTTTTGGGTGATGATTTTATTGGTATCTGGGCAATAATTGTGGTTTTGCAAGGTCTGGTGATGGTAATGGTGATAGTGATAGTAGTTGTGGTGGTGGTATGCTTGTGATCCACGTAGCCCGATCTATCGACCATAACTGTTACATCAACTCTATTATATATTAATTACATTGATAGGCTTTTGACAAGAGGTCAACCACTCTATAAATTAGGCTGATATTCCTGACACTCATTAACTACGCACGTCACTTCAGTCAACTTTGAAGACATACGTGTCCGACCCTCTTTTGGTTGTAAAGGATTTCGAATAGTAGAGGGTGAATCACTTCGACAGAACTTAGTAGAACGACCTCGGCACTTTATTTGATGGCTTCGAATGTTAGTCTCTTCTACACCAATTCTTGGGTGTTTGCCTTGTGTATGAATGTGAGGTCTCCACGTGGACCCGTATTGATTTGTAACAATAGTCTCCCAAGTCTATGTACGATCATTTATGTGATACATGGAATTTATAATTTCATAATTTCCAAGAAAAGAATTCCATGATGGATGCTAATCGCCTAAGTCTAATTTACCAACATTGATGTGGGAATTAGAATTTATGAGAGGGAGATGACGTTGAAATTTGAGTTTATAATCCCCCAGTTCAGTTGGGGCTTTCAATGGGGATTAGCTGAGGTGCCTTCATAGTAGAGTCGAAGCTCTTAAAGAGGTAGGCCGAGGTACCTTTGTGGAGTAGTGTTGCCGAGGTTATGAGTGTTAGAGAAAGGGGTTGAATAGGGTCAGCATGAGAATATGTGAAGGATCTTGAGGGTTGCTATGTGAACCGAAGCTTTATCCTGTGTGAGACGATTCAGGTAGTTTGAACGTCTTTCATCATTTATAACTACAGATTGCGATGTTGACGTTTGGTCTTCTTGAGGAGGGTTGTGCCCTCAATTTTCAACGTATTCCACCAGTTTTAATCTAGGCCTTGAAGCTGAAACATTGGTTTCATCAAACGGCCTTTAATTTCCTGAGTTTGAACGGTCTAGATCTTAAAGATCTAACGATAAAAAATTCGTGTGTTTGCCTATAAAAGGCTAATCCATTGCCTCGAACATTCATTTACCGGTGCGAATTGCTTTGTCTCGTTTCTTTGCAATATGGCCAAAAATCATACTTGGTGGATTTTGAAGGGAGTTGATGTAAGTGATTGCTTGGTTTTGGACAATGCCATGGAGACTGCAAGTTGGTTGATCCTTGGGTGCAATGTATGAGATGCTTGGATTCGTGAAAATGAAAATGCAGCCTCAGTACAATCTTATTTGAACGCACTGGAACAGTGTTGAAGTGCGGAGGGTCATCTACTGCCTTGAATGAATTATGTTGCAATAGGGTGCGAATCTCATTCGAAGTGCCCTGAGCCGCACTACTTGGATCCATAGGGATTGGTATTAACGCACCTCTCCTAGGCGGCTAGGCTACCTCCTCTGTTAATATTAAATAGGCAGAGTGTATTGTGGCCATATCGTTGAATTTTGACATAATCCGACAGACCTCGTGATTGTAAAGGTTGCGGTATATGGTGGACATCCTTAAAAGGAAGAGGTTCAGTTGTCTCTGTGTATGATATAGTGGTTACATTGTCATTGTTGTTCATCATTTTTTATTTATTTATTGTGAGTGCTTTGTAATGCTTTATAAGTGGCTCCGATTGCCCTTGATTGTAATGCGTTTGTAGCGATGAATAATTTTTTTTAACCTTTTTATACAAATGTGTTCGGACTTCAAATCATTACTGCTTCGTAGTTCGGAATGTTTTGAGAGGATCGTGCGCTTGCAGTAGTCCTATTTCTTATTCTTTTGGAGGCAACTTCTGTGCCTTTTCACGGGGGTCGACCTTGTAATGGTCTGAGCCTTTGTGTTATTTTGCCCATGTGGCGAGTTTTTATTACCGAGGTGGACACATTCAGACTCAAACCCCTTTTACAAGGGTGCCATTTCTTGGGCTGAACCTCGCAGACGCTTTCTGTTTAAGCTCATATTCTGAAGTGTCTTTATGGGCTAGTGCCCTTTGGGCTATTTTTTCTGCTCCTTCAGGGGAACTGCCTCAGAAAATGCCATGCATTTTGTTGAGGGCTTCGACCGCTTCTTCCTCGTGGTGGGGAATAGATCATGTCATGTTACATTATCGAAAACAATGTAAAATA